TGCTGTTTTAACAGACCAGGTGCACAATGACATGAACCTATTTGTTATGCGTACTGATTAATTAACAATGACAGGGCTACAAAAAGTCATCCAGTTTGCTCAAGTGATATTGCTGCTTGACTTTTATAGTCACAAACTTTCCTTCACACAAGGTTAAAAATTGTCCAGACTTTGACACATTATTAAGCCAACAAGAAAACTGCAGTCTTTAGCAATGTGAGTCATGTCCGGCACATTAACAACAGCAGTTTATCATGTGACCATGGAGCTCTTGGTGTGTTTTTCATATCCCACTTAAGCCAGCAAATGTGTAACTTGTACTCAAGTCAAAAGTTAAGTGGCTAGATGTGATTATGCTACACGATAGAGCACATCCGGCTAGTAGTGAGACTACAGCTTCATCTCAGAAATCTCTTCTGCCAAGATAATTCTATTACCAAAAAGTGCCGATTTCCGTTCCGTTCCATTAATCTTTCTTTATTCAGTGAACATGGTCAATATTTGTGGGTCCAGATTATGAATTACTTATTAAAAACAGACTGAACAAATACAGGATCAGTGTTATTTGTGTAAAGCAGTGGTATTTTAGTATTATTTATACACCATTACAGTATTTAGTAATATTTTGCTTAGATTTTTCAGTTTTCATTTAGTTAAAATGTTGAGTAATTTTGTTATGCACTTTGTCATTTTGAAATATTTCCATAATTTTATTTTAGAAATGTTAGATTTTTTTTTTTTTTAATAACATTTTCATCTAATTTATTTTATTTCAACTTTATTTAACAAAAACGTTTTAAACTTAATTTTAGTTATCATTTTAGTCTGGATTATTACAGTTTACCAGAACTAAAACTAAACCTAAAACCATTAAACGCATTTTCAGTACTTTAAATAAAATGAAATGAAACTGAAAAAAGAAACGTATTATATTTCAGCAACATTTCTTGTACTGAACTTGTTGCCTTGTACTGAAATAACTCAAATGAAATAAAACAAATAAAACCTATATATAGTATAACAATATACTATATAACTATAATATATATAACTAATAAAACTTTCAAAAACTTTAACCAAACTGAAATTGAAATGAAAACAAAAAATACAAAAATGAAAACTAATTCAAAATATGAATAAAAACGTAATCTTAATGATACTAAAATAAAACCGATTTTAGTTAAAAGTAATAACTGGTGTAAATTCCTTTAAAAAAGTTTAATACATGCAAAGTCTTGTTTTGCAGATAAAGGGTATTTTTTTATTGGTTTTTGGTTAATGTGTTAGTGTGTAAAGGTGAAGTTTAACTTGGGTAAAATGCTGCGTTCACGCCATGACGTAATTCCTGTGATTTCGAGATGACAACACGTGACGTTCTACTTGGAGCTGCTCACACCCTTGGACTCGGAACTATCGCACTATCAATGCCTAAACATAGCGGATAATGAATCAGAAGTGGTCAGGCGCTCAAAGTTGTAGCTTTCAGAAAACTCCCAGCTCACAAGTTGTAATTACGGGTTCTACAAGGACGTGAATGCTAATGATCACTGTATTATTCAAACCCCATTACTTTCACCTGAATGGCTAATGTACATCATACCACAACCTGGATCCCTCCTCCAGAATTTCTAGGCATCAGCAAACAAACATGATTTGCATTGCATTGATATGACACATGGCATTTCCACACCAGAGAAATATCTGCCCATTGCGAAGCAGGAAGGAAACGGCAGTGTAAAATCTGCTGCTGCGCATGTGGGTGAGCTTGTAGGAAAAATCCAACTCCTTCCCACTCGCAGGAATCGCATTTGAATAAATTAGGTCATGCAAGTGTGCTTTACCTTTAAAGTCATATACTATCATATCTTTGTGCCAAATAGGCAAGAGTTCACATACACACCTCAAAGACAAACAACCACGTGACTACATAGCGACTATGTCAATAAAAGCACTCCGCTATGACCAATATTTAACCAAAACATATCTGTGCAGTCTGATAGTGACTCAAATAGCTGTTCTGACAGTGCTGTGCAGTATCCTTCGATTAGGTCTAGTTTTCCTTTAGCTGGTGTCCTAAATGAAACGAAAAAACGAATCTGAAGTGACAAGAGTACCACATGCTTTGTTGCTAAGGCAACCACGAAATGACAAATCTATGCAAATAAACACCCAAAAGCTTATTTCCTTAACCATAGTTAGTCTGGTCCTAAAACGTGAACTGATCAAATGTAAAAACCTTCCTATGGCATCTCCTTTCCTTTGTGCCAAATAGGCAAGAGTTCACATACACACCTCAAAGACAAACAACCACGTGACTACATAGCGACTATGTCAATAAAAGCACTCCGCTATGACCAATATTTAACCAAAACATATCTGTGCAGTCTGATAGTGACTCAAATAGCTGTTCTGACAGTGCTGTGCAGTATCCTTCGATTAGGTCTAGTTTTCCTTTAGCTGGTGTCCTAAATGAAACGAAAAAACGAATCTGAAGTGACAAGAGTACCACATGCTTTGTTGCTAAGGCAACCAAGAAATGACAAATCTATGCAAATAAACACCCAAAAGCTTATTTCCTTAACCATAGTTAGTCTGGTCCTAAAATGTGAAATGATCAAATGTAAAAACCTTCCTATGGCATCTCCTTTCCAACAATCTGAAGCAAATCAAATCATTTGTATAGTAACCTCAGGCCGACCTTTTGACCTTCCATGGCCCCTATTGATAGGGAAGACCTAGCTGTGCTCTATTGCAGGTTTATTCACTCCTGCACACTGGTTTTGTTTCATTATCATTGCACATCTTGTCAGACCAGTTCAGCTTTGGTTTAATGCTTAATGCAGACAAACAGATACGTTTCCTGCTAAAAGAGGATCACTGGCTTTCAGAATGGAAATCTTGATATTGAGTCACACAGTTATCTATTCAATCTCAAGTCCATAGCAACAAAAGAAACACAAACAGTACTGAAAATGCACTGCATGTTTATTGCCTGGAGTAAAATACAAAAATACTGGTTATATGCTTCATACTGTGTATATATATATATATATACACATTTATCGGTTTACAGATACATTATGAGTTTCATCCAAAATATGATAATAAAAGAAATCTTTAACCTTTTTTGTTAATACATTGTCTTACAACCCTTCATGCATTTGAAGTCTCGCTATAATTCCTACATGCTTTCATTCAAAATTTTTTTTTGCTGTCTTTGAAAATAATTTCCAGAATTTTCTTCCCAAATCAAAGATATCTAATGAGAAAACTCGCCCATGCACACAGTGCTGTAAACTAGCTATATACGGTGATCTTATAATACAGCTGAACCATTTAACAGAATTTTGTACAGTCTAGCATTTGCAGCCTAATGGAACATACAGTATCATTGATGAAACCAGTACAGATCATTAAAGGGTTTGCATTGACATAAAAAGAGTTTAAAGAAATAGTTCACCCAAAAATATATATTTGCTGAAAATGTACTTACCCTCAGGCCTTACAAGATGTAGATAGGTTTCTAGATCAGAACAGAATTAGAGAAATGTAGCATTACATCACATACATCACGTGCTTGATGGACTGGAGTCGTGAGCATTACTCATGGATTATTGTGATGTTTTTATCAGCTGTTTGGACTCTCATTCTGACGGCACCCATTCACTGCAGGGGATTCATTGGTGAGCAAGTGATGTAATGCTAAATCTCTCCAAATCCGTTTCGATGAAGAAACAAACTCATGTACATTTTTAGCAAATTTTCATTTTTGGGTACATTTTTCCTTTAAATACAAACAATAAAGCAGTGCAATAAACTGATATCACGAGCTTCAACATTACAGTTTCTTTTAGAAAATGCAGCATATTTTCTGTCAAGTCTCTTTCTGACCATGCACTATTATTAATGCATTTAACATTAGATCACATGTCAACAGAAATTGCAGTTTTAACATAGGAGAGATATGTAGAGAGGTCTGAATACAATTTGAAAAGGGCATTTTGCTACAGGATAAAAGCAGTTCAGTGCATTGTGTGTGTAATACTACTCAAATCTGTAAAGCCATGCAATTAGCCTCTAAATAAAATGTCTAACACTGCAAACATAAAGCTCAAGGATACGTTCAAAGAGGGATTTGACTTTTTGCCAGCTCTGAAAGACAGAGCGTTTGTGAGAGAAGCCATTGTTCTGGACAAAAAATAAATCAAGCCATTCCTTTCATCAAACCATGACCTTGAAGCAGTCCTGAAAGAATAACTGAACTCAACCTCTGATGGTTTTGGGCCCTTAGAAATCCCAGCTGAGACACTGCTTTCAAAAAAAGGAAAGAAAACAAAAACAGACCAATAATGTCACCGAGTTCCATCCAACATTCTGTTCAAAAAAAGGACATTCTCCCCAAACAGGGATACTTTTACTTCATAATCTATGCCTGCAAAACACAATAACCTATAACAACAATCAGAGGCAAACCAATGCCAAAACTCAGTCTTAAAGCTCAACAATGTCATTCTGCAATCACGACTTCCAAAAAACGTTGAAAGAAAGCTCTCTATTCTATGATCGCATGTGCACAGCACCTTTGCTATGGAGTGATACAGGAATGTCTGTGTTGATTTTGACCTTTTCCACTTCTAAAACTCTCCAATATATGAAGAACATTTCAAACTGAACTTATAGTTTCAAAACTTTTAGATGATAGTCTTATCTATGACATCAGAATAAATACCCGCAACACAGTGACAAGTTATATCCTATCATCAAACAGTTTAGTTTTTGAGAGGCCTGAGTAAAACAACAAACAAAAGATTTTAAAGTGGTATGAATAAAAACATGCACAATTCCGTTTAAACATAAGACATACCACAGTATTAAAATTATTTATAGGAATAGCTCAGCCAAAAATTAAAATTCTGTCATCATTTACTCACCCTCATGTCTTCAACTAAGATATTTTTATTGTTTTTATTCATACGATGAATGCCAGTGGGGTCCAAAACAACACTGGACCCCATTGACTTTCATTGTATGAACAAAAAAATGTGTTACACATAAGAAAGTGAATCAAACATGTTTGGAACAACATGAGGTTGAGTAAATGATGGCAGAACATCTCTTTTTGGTGAACTATCACTTTAGTAACTAGCAACAACAGAACGAACATAAAAATATGAGGGACTTGCGATGGATCCTGAGTAGATGTCTTTAAGGGAGTTTTGCTCTTTGTAAAAGCTGCACTGGCTTCTCCAAACGCCTGTAGAGAAATGAACAGCTTGAATCATGTCGAGCAGGCTGTGAGTGTCTATGCCATCCATCCACCCACTCACTTTCACTCTCTCTCACACACACACACGCTTTCTGATCTGCTGGGTCCACCGGTGGGTGTACGGTGGAGCGAGACCAGCTGAGAACCAAGAATAAAATGACTTCAAACATTAACGGAACAATTATAAAAAATTTAAGTATTTGTTATATAAACACAAGCGCAGATTGCCGTATTTTTTAAAAAGCTGCTGTTGGCGCTTAAGTGGGCGGAGGTCCATCGTAGCGGAGCATGATGTTGAAGGAGCGGGCGAAGTTGTTGGATAGTGAACAGCTGGTGCCCTCGTCCATCATGGGCAGCAGGAAGGCCAGCAGCAGCATGGCCAACAACAGGAGCTGGAGAGGAAGAGCCACGCGACATACACGGTACAGGAAGCCGAGACCACTGTTCGCCTGCAACACACACAACCACAGATGCTGTCACATGTTGATTGGCTCTACTACAAAACCTTGAGTTTCTACAGGATCGTTCACTCTGGAGGTCACCAAATAGCTGTGCTGTTGCACGCTAACACTGTAGGTGTTTCTACTCAACTACAAGTGTCCAACAGTTTAAATCACGCTAGTTTCACTGCAGTCACTGCTCAACTTTGCTGCAGCAAATCACTAAATCCAACTGAAACTAAATTACTTTGGTCATTGCTCATCACTGTCAGTATACATTATTCTTCATGCAAAATCCGAAAATATAATAAAATCACGCAAGTTATAGATCTGAAACAAGTGATTGATGAAAAGCTTATAATAAAATCAATCATTTTAAACTAAAACAAAATCAACACTAAACACTACAAAAGGTAAATATTTTACACACACACATATATATATACTGTATATAAAACATTTAATTGTATGCCATGTGAACATTAACCGACATCTGAGAAGAACCGTGAACATGCAAATTTGTTGTTAAATTATTGAAATATTAACTTATCTCAATATTAACAATATCTCAGGGGGTACTTGTTGCAATTCATTCTGGGTTTATCTTATTCTAAAAGGATTTTTTAAATGTTATTTTAAAAAGTTTTTGTGCTTAGTGTTGTCAAAGTCTCTTTAAGGAAAGTCAGTTCACTTGGACATATTTGCAGTTGCCTCCAAGCAGCTATTTTGGGCATGCAAGGCCAACTCCTATCTACTTGAGTGGGGAAATCTCAAAAACTGCTGGCTAAACTCATACATGTTTAAATAACATTTAAAATCAGCAATAAAATCTGACAGGAACTGTCCATTAATATTGTTTCTTGTCCTCAAATAGCACTAAAATGCGTAAATTTCAGGTTGGCCCAGCCAATGTGCATGTGTAGTCCTAAGCACTCATCTCAGGACACGACTGGACCTGCAGTAACGCAATGACTTTTACAATTGTTGAATGGCGCTTTTATTTAGAAGACGGGATTTATTCCACAATATTAAGCGTTGCTATTTATCCCACTCATGGTTATATGGGTGAACCGTCTTAGTATTTCTAAAGTCTTTGTTGCCAAGGTAGATGACTCACTAGATTTATTACAAAAATAATATGTACACACAATAAGCTCAAATTCTGAGTATAGAGGTGCTTCTCTGAGTTTTAAAAGTAATTTTAAATTGCCAACAAGAACATAGAGAATTTTTTTTACTTTTCTAAGCTTATAATTTTCTTCTGGTGGATGATAAAAGGGCAGAAAAATTCCATATAAATCTCATATAATTCCTCCAAATCATGACATTGCAAAAAAAGAAAACTCTTTGACAAGAATATAGATCCTGGCTTGTGACTTAATGCAGCAACACAACACCCATCTCTCATTCATTAGCATTATACGACTGATAAAAAAACCCCACTATGATCAAGTCATTTTTTCATGACTCACTGGATGCCGAAAAACAAATTCACACAGACAAATGAATACCTGAAAAAATAAGGATGTTTTTCAAGCTCCTGTAGAACTGTGGGAGTGAATGTCCACCCTCAGCTGCTCAACAACCGCCATCGCTCTGAGCGCCGGGCTGTGAGATAACTGAACTTTATACAACCCTTTCTATTTAACTGTATCAAAGCTGAGGAACATGGGAACTCTTTCTCTCTGGGTGTTTGAGAGACAGTGCAGAAGTACGAGAAAGTGAGGAGGAGGAAATGTGGGTGGATGAAAAGCTGAATTTCTTTCCACACTTCTTTTGTCAGCCTCTTTTCAGGACAATATAATTATACTGAAAAGTAATTACAGCGGTGCTCAGGCCTGGTGTACTTTATAGAACGATAGACTGTTCTTACAGATACACATCAACAATCATATTGCTCTTGCTTGATAATCATACAACAGGACAATATATTTGATCACAACAAATAATTATAGATTCTGTGAACAGCCTGTAATTACAGTTACAGAAAAATTACCTCATTGACAACTGAAGTGTCATCTTCACAATTAGATGATTGTATTTGGTCAGTGATGGAGACAACTGAAGTGTGTGTGCAGAGTGTATATTTTCATCCTGCATGATGCTGTCACATCCTGTCACTAAGACAGCAGAAGATAATGACGGTTTCCACGACTGAGACATAACAAAAATATGTTCTGGAACGGCCAGTTAAATAACAATGACAAACGTTTTACACACACACACACACATCTATTATATA